GCCAAATGAAAAGAAATTAATGACTTAAGGAAATTAATGACTTATTTTCAAATGAGTCTGCATGTACATTCTAACGGTGCCTCACTGTGCCTTACCTTGTAAGATTTGTGCTTTTTCCTATGTAGTGTTCATGGAGGATGTACTCTGTCCATTCTCACTTGGTGTTTGGCATACAGGAGAGAACATACCACCATTTCCTTTCCTGTTAGTTGCCCTCTTGAATTACTCTGCTGACTGATGAGTTTTGCTCTTTATCTGGTTTGGTTTTGTATTTTTTTCCTTTCCTTAGGTTGCTGTGCTTTCACCAAAGGCCTAATTTGAGTGAGATGCCTTCCCTGAAGGCTTTGTTCCATTTTCTGATCCTCATTGAATACATTCAAGGTCTTGGAAGTGACTATGTGCCCTAGTCTTTCAAACATCTTATCACATAGGAGCTCACATTCCTGAATTTCATTTGGTCAAACGATCTGTGAAAGTAGTCTCCTAGCCAAGAACTAGTAGTCATGCTGAGGCTTGTTCAGTCAAGCCAAATTGTTCTGATCTCATTACCCTTAGAGATCCCTGTCGTACTTTATTCAGGAACCAGCTGGTTAAAAGGTCATAGATCAAGTGTCCACTTTTGCCCACATTTTCTTCAGATGTTTCTATTTGTTCTGAGACACTGAGCCCACCTGCTATGGGGATCTTATTCAACAGACCCCCTCAGCACCAGGATCATGTCTTATGTCACTGCTGTTTAACCCATAAGCCACCCTTGATTCTCTTCAGTTGTCTTGACTGTTCACTTTCATTCACCTTGAATGCCAATCAGAAGAGCCACCAGGGAAGTGCAAGCATCCACGAAGAAATCTTCCCATCGAAGACAGAATGGGAATTCTACATGACAACATTCCTCTGGAATCTTTTCTGCAGCTCCTGGAGGGATGATGTTTTGCCTCACCTGTTGACCACCTTGGGCTATTTTGCATGATTTCTGTCTGGGACTGACATTGCTGAGAAGTAATATTTGACTCGTAACAATCTTTAGTTCATTTTTTCAAATTGGACTGGTAAAGATGGTAGGAAGAGTACCAAACCTCTCTTCTTCTGCCTGTTTTGTGCCTTCAGCTTTCACATCAACTGGGATGTGATTGCCATGTCATCTGTCATCTTTGAAGCTTATTATGCGTTATGCTTGGACCTGGATATGGATGCTTTGGGTATTCAGTTAAGTTTACCTCCCTGATACTTCCTGACTAAATGTTTCCATTCTTTTACAGGGATCCTTCCCACATTCTTTTTTTGACAGGAGAGTAACCCTCTCTAATCCAGACGATCTATATCCCTACAGCTCCTAATCATACAAAGGCTAATTCATAGAAAGAGTGCTGCAGCAGTTATGTTCTTATACTCAAGCAGAAAACTTTGGGTTCGTGCCAGATCTTAGGCTTCTACAAGATGAACTTATGCATATACAGTTTCAAGTTCTGGATTGTGACTGTATTCAGTATCTTTCCCAGAAGTTCAAGGAGAATGGTTCAGATTTCTCAAATGGCAGGATGCTTACTTTGTCTCCAGTCTATGGATGTCTTGGATGTTATTGTTTCTTTTGTCCATGTCTCATCAAACATTTTCCCAGGTTCTGGTAGTTACCACGATGCATCTTCACTGCAGAGGAATCTGGTTCCTTTATCTCAGTGCCTGATTTGTGAAAGGAGTTGTTACAGAACAACTTTGTGAAGCTTTCAGTCTTTTTCCTTAGATTGTGAATGTGAGATAGCAGTACCTCATTCCCACTCAATCCTTAGAATTTATCATAGTAATCAGTTCTGTGTGTTCCACTTGGAACAGAGAACTTGCCTTGGAGAACTGCAGGACATCTTCTCTTGGACATCTGTGGCAATGTATACACTTGTGATGAGATGTTTTCTTCCAATTTAAATTTTGTGCTTTGGATGCTTGTGTGACCACCTTTAGAGTCTAGATTCTTGTTCATTCTTATCTAGGAAGTTGGCTTGCTTTATGCCTTTTGCCCTTCCCAGAAGAGCAGGGGATTCAGGTCCTTGCATTGGACATCCCCATAAGCTGTTTTCTTCAAAGATTGAGTTTCTCTGGAAATCCTGCAAATACCTCCCACAGTGGTGGTAGAGGCATTTTATCCTAGCCTTTTAGTATTTTTCCTAAGGCTTCATGCTTCTAGAACAGAAGTTATAACTAAAGACTGTAGCGCAAGGAGGGCCCTCTTGTTTTTATTCTCATGGACCCAGACCTTCTAGGAAGACTTGCTTGCTACAAGAAGATCCTGGATCTACTGTTGGCATACAGTAACAATCCAAATGGACATCAGTTGCATATGGGTCCACTATGAAACTGTGAAAGTGGAACAAGAGAGCACTTTCTAACACTCATCAGGCACCTTTGGTAGTAGCCTTCTGCTGTGCAAGGCTCTTGACATTCTTCTTGCTTTTATGCTGTGCTGGTCTTGAAACATCCAAAGCTGAATCCAGTCTTTGGTAGGGCATCAGTGCCGTCATTGGTTCGCACAGTAGGATTCTCATCCTCTGCCAGAAATCTCATGGCAGGGCTAACTGCTGAGAGTCACCATCTATAAGAATGTACATGTGGACTCATTTGAAGAAAGAAAGCTTTCTTAGCAGTAATCAGTATTCTTCATGATGTGTAGTCCACGTGTACATTCCCATCCCATCTGCTTTTCCCTTCTCTCTAATTCTTTTTCAGATGCAATGCTGTTGAGAGAGACTGAAATGGTGCATGCACTCTCTTGTATGCCACACATGAAGCAGGAAAAGGAGTAGAGGCAAGAGTACAGGCTCTACAGGCAGGGCAGAACTATACCTCCTGTTAGAATGTATGTGTAGACTACCTGTGTCGTACATTGGTTACTGGTAAGTATTTTTTTTTTTACTTGATTAGGGTGATAGGATTGTCCTTGGACTTGATGGATGGAGCATCATTTGGGTTCTGTAGGACAATCTGTTGGTTTTTCCATGTTTGTGAATGAGTTGAGGACTGCAGCATTTGTGTATGCCTACAAATTGCTGCAGAATTGCTGGAGAAATCCAGTTATTAACACTTCTCTCTGCATCATTACTTAAGCGTTACAGAGTTCTGAGATTAACTCAAGTTATTTCCTGTGGTAATAAACTATTTATTCTGTTTCAATTTACCATTAAGTTTTAAATGGCCTTTTTTCCAGTTTCTCCTCCAAAATTGCAAAATGTGTTTTTTGCACGACTAACTGATAGTTTATACTGTATAATTTAATTCCAGCCTTCTAGTTCATAAGTATAATTTTCAGCAACTGAAACTGTTGTTCTAATTTGGACTTGGACCTGTACTAGAACTTGAGTGGTGGCGTCTTATTTGGTCACCGAAGGTTATCATTGCATGGTTCCAAACATTTTTATTAATAAATGCTAGTTGTTCTGATAGATAATTTGTATGAAACCAAGATAATTTAGAGGTTGATCTATTGGTAGGGTGAATTATTGTTCAGACCTAAGTTGTTGAGAACTGAAGACTTCTCTGAGATTAGAAAAATGTACCTATGAACCTGTTCTACCAGCAGAGTTGTTGATCCATGCTTGCAGCAGAGCTGGCTTTATCACGTATTAGTATCAAAGATAACGTGCCGCTTTCCGTTAATGATTTCTTTTCATTCTAGTTGAACAGTGGTAAAAGTAAGGGCTCTCTGTACATCACTTAAGATTAGCTAAATTAGAAAACAGTAATGCTGTCCTTCATAATGGCTGTTGTAAGCCTTATCTGGGCTTCCCATCTGACATATGCTTCATGGCCAAAACATTCAAAAGATCCTGATAGAAACAAGCCAACTAAATAAATTTCTGATACCTCTGGGGTCTTGTGGTTGTTTTCTTTTCTTTGATATACTATGCATGACCACAAAGTACTCTGATAATCTGAGTTGGAAGCAAACACAATGTGAAAGGGCAGAACATTACTTTATGGCATAGTCTGTGTTATTTTTCAAAGGCTCTGTTTATTTTTTATTGACCCAGGTAGCCATTTTGATTTCTTTGTTAGTCTTTAATCTTAAGTACTAAGCTAAACTTCCTTGCTCCATCATGCCTTCTCCCTCCATATCCTTCTTCCTTTCCCTTTTGGACTAGAAAAGGACAAATCCAGACTGCTTAAGCAAGGACTCTACTTAGCCAGAGAAACCTCTGAGAAAACAGTGGCTTCAGAAGTAAAATATAACCAGTAGCCTGAGCAAAGCTCAGTGTAATATTTGGTTTACAAGTGTGTATATCCTTGATTTAAAATAAGAAAATTTCAGTGTAAGAAGACTTCTGAGATTTCAGAAGAAAATTAGTAAGTATAATAGCAGTAGGACCTTTATGAAATGCAATCCTTTTAATGAGTTGGAGAAGTTCATCAAACTGAGGATAGGGAAGAGATAATATGTAGTTACAGGAGCAAGTTCAGTAAGGGACAACTCTGTGAGATGAGTTGTCTATGGTCTCCAAATAATAGTTGGTAGACTGGCCTGCTTTGAAACAAGGTGGGAATTAATGCAGAAAAATCATTGACCTGACAGTGAGAGAATAAAACAGCCTAGTTTTCTCTCCATTTCTAATGTGTTTCTCACATAACTTAAGGGATGATACTACGAATACCAAAGTGTGCAATAAATGAAAAGAATGGTACGTCTGTAATCGGTATCTTCTTATCGGTATCTTCTTATTTTTCATCTTTATTCTCATACATGCTTGTACTTGATCAAACCATCTGCCTTCAAGTTGAAAAGCAATTGCTATGGTTTTGGATTCAGTTGCAGCTGATGTGTAGGCTGTGAAGCACTGTAAAAAAAAAAAATTGCCTTTGTGAACTTGCATCTTTAAACTTGGAGAACACATTACAAAGGCTGTCAAAAAGACAGAGCTCTCTTGCATGCTGTGTTTTTGCATGTCAGTGGCAAAGCAACTTCTGTGTCAGCTGCTGAAGCATACCAATGCTATGATTCTGTGTTCTTCCTCTCCCTGTAGCAAACGTGTGTGTTGTGAAGGTGGATGGGACTCCTTATTTGTGTAAAGCCGATGAGGTTGGAGAAATATGTGTGAATTCAAGTGCAACTGGGATGGCATATTTCGGCCTCCTTGGTATCACCAAGAATGTGTTCGAGGTTTGTATTTCTCTTTGTAATGTAAAGTTTCATTGTTACATTTCTAGTATTTCTTCTCACAAATAAACTTATTTTTTCCTTAAACTTCCTTTCTTATTTTATTAGAAAAAGCCCTGGCCAAATACACTTTGCTTCATTCTTTATCAGAACTCGAAATTCTGTCTCTCATAACCAAAAATACAAAGTACCTTCAGCAGTCAATCAGCTGCCTCTATGTTCTGCTATCCAGTGTTGTGCCTATGTTAGCATTTAAATTCATCTTAGTTCTGTGTTAACACAGCAGTCTTATGTAAAGTTACCTGAAGACATTCCAAGTTTATTAGTGTGCAGCTTGGGACATAGAGTTAGAAGTTAGTCCAGTATTTGTGAGCTTCTTCATACAATCAAAATGCATTTGTTCAGATATAATAAATTATTTAGAAAAGCTTCCTTGGTGTATTGCAAACAGTATGTGCATTTCAAAATCAACTTTAGTGTTGCTTTGCTGTAATGCTTAGAACACTAAACAGTTTGCTGTTGGATATATGAAATTACGTTCCTAGGTATATGGAAGAAGAGCTAGTAAGGATGATAGCATAACAGTCATATGCCTTGTAGTTTTTCAAAGTAAAACAAAAGCGATCTTTCTGCCCAGATTTCTCCTTGCAGTGGTACCCCAATTTCATGTTTTCCCTTTTCTGGCAAGAAAGGAGTGAAAGTCCTTTGGGAGTCACACACACAGTAGTGTTATGCTGGGTGGCAGTTTGAAGACTTGGCTGAAGTATGGAGTTCTATCAGAGAGATGAAAGAAATCCTGACCATAGTCTTCTCTTTCAAAAAAAGCTCTTTTTGTCAGCTTGCCAAGCCTCAGCACTTTAAACAGCTTAGCTTTCAGCACTGTCCTTAGCTAGTAAGAGAGCCAGTGAGAAACCTGATGTAATGGAAGAGTTGGGGCGTGGGGGGAAGGCAAGGAAACCACCTGAGCAGATGAGAGGAACTTGATGAGCTTAATGCTTTTGCTCTGGTTCTCTGTTGTAGGCCGTCCCATAATTGGAGCAAACTTAACTTTCTCAAATTTCTGATAGCATAGCGTTTGTCACAATTGAAGTGTTATGCCTGGGTACATATCTCATCGGGGATGTTAACAGTAACAACAGAAAGACTTTCTGATTAAGTGCCATATGAGTGCATACTATAAAACCTGATTTAAAGAGTGGTGTGATCTCTTGTTATGAAGACTAAGTAGCTGAGAAAAAGATAAGAAGGCTACCACAGAGTTAAGAATTGATGTGCTCTTCATTATTCAAAAAGCTGTTCTTTATACTTGACATGATAGTAACTGTTGTCATCGGGTAATTTTTCAACTGAGCGTAGAGCTGCAATAAAACAGAGGCAGAATGCATTTTAACTTCACTTTTCTTAATAGTACTGTGAATGTCTGAATACTTATGTGTTCTTTCAGGCCATTCCAGTGACGGCAGCCGGTGTGCCTGTTTCAGACCAACCCTTTACAAGAACAGGATTGCTTGGCTTTGTGGGTCCGGTAAGTGTGAATGAGCCATCTGGGGCCCTGCTTTGTCCTGACTCCCAACTCTTAAGTGATGCCCCTGAATTCAGCAGAATTCTGTGTCAGGACAGTAACCTCAATATTGTTGGCTTTAGTCAGGCATGTATCACCAGGAGTCTGGAGGTTTTTCCCCTCTATTTCTAATCCTGTATTCTTTTCAGGACTATTTGGTGTTTGTGGTAGGAAAATTGGACGGGCTAATGACAGTTAGTGGCCGCAGGCACAATGCGGATGATGTGGTAGCCACCGCATTGGCAGTCGAACCCATGAAGTTTGTCTATCGGGGAAGGTGAGTATATTAAAAACTTCATCACTGCTGATTGGACTTTGTTGCTCCTTTTTTCACCCGCAAACAATCAACAAGTAACATAGTGTACACAGGAGCTCTGCATGTGAATTTTTACATGCGTATTTTGTAGGAAAGATGGCACGAGGTTGCGATATGCCAGATAAGAACTTGGCTGTCCGTGCTAACTTGGAAGACAAATATTGACACCCTGCTTTATGCATAATAGATGTAAAATTACTTTCACGTAGTATAAACGTAGGTCTTTAATTGTCTGTTTACAGCTTCTTTCACAGCTTCTCTTAAGGCAGTCAAATGAAGCTTGTATGCCAAGTGTAAAACAGAACTCCCCTTTGTCCACCTGAGCCTTTCATGCAGAGTGGCCTAGGGAAGAACTTTGCAGCATGTTCTAAAGAACAGACTAGGAGTGCTGGGGCTGCTGAAGGACCTTCAAAGATAGTACGTGTTGTATCACCAACCTTATTGCTCTTCAGTGGTCAATGGCTCAATGTCCTGATGGAGATCAGTGATGAGTGGTGTCCCTCAGGAGCCCATATTAGCACCAGTACTGCTTAATATCTTCATCAACAACATAGTGGGATCAAGTGCACCCTCAGCAAATTTGCAGATGACACCAAGCTGAGTGGTGTGGTTGACATGCCTGAGGGATGGGATGCCTTTCAGAGGGACCTGGACAAGCTCGAGACACGGGCCCATGTGAACTTCATGAGGCTCAATAAGGCCAAGTGCAAGGTCCTGCACATGGGTTGGGGCAACCTCCAGTATCAGTACAGGCTGGGGGATAAAGGGGTTGAGTGCAGCCCTGTGAAGAAGGTGAAGGGGGTACTGGTGGATGAAAAACTGGACACAAGCCGGCAATGTGCGCTCGCAGCCCAGAAAGCAAACCATATCCTGGGCTGCATCAAAAGAAGCATGGCCAGCAGGTTGAGGGAGGTGATTCTGAGACCCCACCTGGAGTACTGCATCCCGCTCTGGAGTCCTCAGCACAGGAAAGATATGGATCTGTTGGAGTGGGTCCAGAGGAAGGCCACAAAAATGATCAGAGGGATCATGGAATCATAGAATCGTCAAGGTTGGAAAAGACCCTTAAGATCATCGAGTCCAACCGTCAACCTATCACTGCCAAGTCCATCTATACCATGTCTTCAAGCACCGTATCTATC